CCTGTGTTTATAACTCAACCTGCCACAACATTTACTGTCATTCAACCATATAGATTACCTGATCGTACCATTGTTGATCAAAAACCACCAAAAACTGTTACATTAGTCCCTAGACCGATTGTATTAACACAACCAGCTCAAACTCAATACGTAACTTTACCTCCCATCACCATGCCTGCTACTACTGTATTTTCATACATTGTACCAAGAACTGTATCTCCTGTAATTCCCCAAATAATGCCTATGTTGGATCAATCTCAATTATCTAATCCTTTTACTGATCCATTTTCAAATCAATTTAATGATTCATCATTAAATCAAAATCCTAATCAATTTACATTTCCTAATACAAATTCAACATCAAATGATTTACAACAACCACCAATTACAACTCTTAATTCTTCTGAGAATACATCATCAATACCTGTTAATGATGATGAAGAATTAGATAAACAATTTGCTACTTTAAAAAAATTGATTGATGAAATAGGCAATTCTAAACCAAATAGTGCTGAACAGTGTATTATACAACCAACATTACCAATGTGTCCAACTCAACCCCCTAAAATTAAAAATGGGTGTTCAATAGATAGTTTAATGGGATGTTCTAATAAACCTAAACCTGCTGATAAATGTTCCATAAATAACATAAAGATGTGTAAAACATCATTTTTAAGTAATTTAACAGAAAATAATAATTCATCATCCTTAAAAGGAAATAATTTAGTTGAGAAAAGTAATTTAGAAGGAAAAAGTAATTTGATTAAAAATGATAAAACAAATACAGAAAATAATAAAAAAAAGTCATTAATTTCTAAAATGAAAGAGTTGTTAAAGTCTAAATTAACAACCTCTAATTTGATAAAACAACCCGAAATAGCCGAAGCATACACCGAGAATCAGGAACCCAATGACACTGTTCTTTTAAGTGATTTAATCAACCATTAAATAAATTAATAATTTAAATCTTTTAAATAAAAAAGTTATGTGTGAATTATCAAAGGAGGAGACCGAAGTAACTAATGAACTTGATTTTCTTAAGAATAAATACAGGGTAGAGATAATGATTGGGTATGGTTCATTCAGTTCGGTATATAAAGCTGTAAATATAGAGAATAATACAGATGTTGCACTTAAAGTTATAACTAAAACAACTTCTCCAAGTAGAATATTAGATGAATTAAAAGTTTTAAAGAAATTGAATGGGGCTAATTTCTGTATACCGTTACTAGATGTACTTAGAAACAATGATCAGGTGGTAGCAGTATTTCCACTTATTGATGGAGTTAAGTTTAAAAAATTTATAGAAGTTGCCACAATAGAAGACATTAAAACATACATGCATTGTTTGCTTACAGCCGTTGATCACATACATAAACAAGGTTATATTCACAGAGATATTAAACCTTCTAATTTTTTATATGACATGAACTTAAAAATAGGATTTATAATAGACTTTGGATTAACCCAGACTATAAAAGCAATGCCTATAGCACCAAAAGCCAAAGAACCGTTTGTTTTATTTTTTAATTCTATTGTTAAACAATCAAAACCACCTGGTTATTATGATAAAGACACAAGACCTAAAATGAAAGCACACCGAGCTGGAACTAGAGGATTTAGAGCACCTGAAGTTTTATTCAAATACCAATATCAAACACAGAAAATTGACATTTGGTCTGTTGGTGTTATACTTTTATGTATTTTAACAACTCAATATCCATTCTTTCTCAGTAATGATGATATAGATGCGTTAGTTGAGTTAGGTACTATATTTGGACATACTCAAATGCGTAAGACTGCTAAACTCTTTAGTAGGGTATGGAAGAGTAATATTAATACAATTACTGAGGATGGTATTGGTTTAGAAAATTTAATTGTTAAATTAAATAATTATTTCATTTTTAATGAAGATGTAATTGATTTACTTAAAAAGTTATTAGAACTTGATCCAAATAAAAGAATAAGTGCGGAAGAAGCTTTAAATCATGATTTTTTTAAAGAATAAATTTTACCCTTAAAATGTCTTCTAATTTAGCAGAGAAAGTGACTTGTTCTTATGTTGAGTATAAAGATAGAAATGAGAGACTAAAACAGTTGGATATTAAAGAAAAGTATCTTACTAAGGACGTTGAGTATTTGAAAAATGAACTTGGGAGAGCTAGAGAGGAACTTAAGCGTGTTAAAAGTGTACCTTTGTTAGTTGGACAGTTTTTAGAGGCTGTTGACAAGAACACAGCTATTATTGGATCTTCTACTGGTGTTAATTTAGTTGTGAGAATATTAAGTAGTGTGGATGTTGAACTATTAAAACCTAATACATCTGTGGCTTTACATAGACACTCATCTGCTATTGTTGATGTATTACCACCTGAACTTGACTCAACAATTCCTGTTTTAGGTGATCATGAAAAAACTGATGTAACTTATGATGATATTGGAGGTTTAGACATACAAAAACAAGAAATTAAAGAAACCGTTGAATTACCTTTACTTCAGTTTGATAAATATAAAGCTATTGGAATTGAACCTCCAAGAGGTATCTTATTATATGGACCTCCAGGTACAGGAAAAACAATGTTGGTCAAAGCAGTTGCTAATCAATCAAAAGCTACTTTTATTAAAGTTAATGGATCGGAATTTGTTCAGAAGTACCTCGGTGAAGGACCAAGAATGGTTAGGGATGTTTTTAGGTTGGCAAGAGAAAAAGCACCATCAATCATTTTTATTGATGAAATTGATTCAATTGCTACTAAGAGATTTGATGCTTCAACATCTGCTGATAGAGAAGTTCAAAGGGTTTTAATTGAGTTGCTTAATCAAATGGATGGATTTGATCAGAATTCAAATGTGAAAGTAATTATGGCAACCAACAGAGCTGATTCAATTGATGTAGCTTTATTAAGACCTGGTAGACTTGATAGAAAAATTGAATTTCCACTCCCTGATAGAAGACAGAAGAGACTTGTGTTTTCAACCATAACGAGTAAAATGACTATTGATGATAAAGTTGATTTAGAACCTTTTATTAACAGCTCAGAAAGATTAAGTTGTGCAGATATCAATTCAATATGTCAAGAAGCAGGTATGTTAGCTGTTAGAGAATCACGATACGTAATAATTCAAAAAGATTTTGAAGAAGCATTTAGCAAAGTAATAGAGAAAAGAGATACCGCCCACATTCTTTATCATTAATAAAATGATTTTAATAGAAACTTTATTTTTTTGAGATCAATCCTTGAATCTTTCTAAGCCTGAAAAAATCTTCTCTTTCTTGCTCATCTAATTCTTCATTTATAAAACTTAGTGTGTTTTTTAATTTGGGAATGAAAGAAAATTCTAATGAATTAACTCTTCTATTCGTATTGTCAAGTGTTTGTTTAAGAATGTTATAAGAATTGTTAACTGAATTAATTTCTATAAGTTTTTTAACTAAATCTCTAAATAATTTAGATGTTTGATTTAGTTGAAATGATCCAAGTCCATGCATTTGAGTTACTTCATTATTTGAATTTAGTGTAAAGTTAGAGATTTGAATACCTGAAACCATCAATACTTCACACTCAAGATTCACTGGTGTTTTTTCTGCCTCTTTAACTAAGTAATCTACATTTGCTCCAAGAAATTCAGCTTTGTTAAGAGAAAGATAAGCTTTGTTAAATAAAAATTTTAAGTTATCATTTAACGAATTATACTTTTCTTCGATTTTTCTAAAATGTATTTGTAACATGTCTCTTTTAGATTTTAACAATGAATGTCCTTTGTCAACTGTTTTTAAACGTCCATTTGTTACTCTTAAATTCTGTCTAGTTGCAAATATTGGAAATCTTGCCTTATCTGTCATTTATTATTAAACTGTTTGAGTTTAAATTTTATTTAGTTAAAAAAATCATGAGATAGCACTTCTTCTGCTGTTATTCTATTAAGTGGATCATACTCTAACATTTGAAGTAGTAGGTCTTCTAAAAGAGGATCATCTAAATTAAGACCCATGGGTAGGTTGTTATTTAATTTCAATTCTTTGTATTTTGGCATATTTTTTACATTTGGCCAGTTTTCAGGATTGGGACTTCCTAGAACTTTTGTAATCATTTCTAGTTGTGATATTTCACTATCTCCCTTAAATAGTACCTCTGTTGTGTATATTTCATACATAATACAGGCTAATGACCAAACATCAATTGAAGCATCGTAATATTCAGTTCCCAGTAATATTTCAGGGGGTCTGTACCACAATGTTACAATTTCTAATGAGTATGCTCTCATTGGTATGCTTATTGATCTAGATAAACCAAAATCTGCCAACTTTAGTTTCATATCGTAATTTATTAATATATTATGTGGTTTAATATCTCTATGAAATACACCTTTATTATGACAATACGTTACTGCTTCTACTAATTGTTTACAAAGTGATTTTACAATATCAATGTTAAAATGCTGCTTTGATTCTCTTTTTCTTTCAATCAATTTTTTAAGATCTGAATCAATATACTCAAATACTAAATAAATATTGTCTTTATCATGCAAAACTTCATCAAGTCCGATTATATTTTCATGTTTAAGATTCTTTAAAATAATTGTTTCTCTAATTGTAGTTGCTGGTATTCCCTCATTATTATCACTTGGTTTAATCTTTTTAATAGCTACAACCTTTCCAGTTTCTTTGTGTATTGCCTTATAGACTATTCCATATGCCCCTTTACCTATTTTCTCAACCTTCTTATACTCCGAGATGAACATTTTGAATTAGTCTGATTGAAGGGCTAAATTTGCTAAAAATTTACTTTATACAATAAATTTGTTTCTTTTAAGAAACAAACATTTATCTTTATTAACTATTTTCTTTAGTTTTTCAATAAACTTTTAAATTTTTAATAAAATTTTTAACCCATGGTTAAAGTAAGAGCAACTAATAAATCTTTATCTATTAAAGATAGATACAACGGCAGAAAGAAGACTGTAGTTGAAAAGATTGCACCAATTAAACAAATGTATCCAAGAAACATTTTTAAGAATGAAACAGACAAGTCAGCAGGTGCTATTCTTAAGTACATTTTGAAGAATGAAAGAACCACAAGATGTATGGAAAGAGACAATACACTAGTCTATATAGTTGATGTTAATGCAACTAAGATAGAAATTAAAGCAGCTATAACTGAGAAGTACAACCAACCAGTTAAGAAAGTCAGAACACTTATTATGTTTAAAGAATATGCTAAGAAAGCTTTTGTGGTATTTAAAAATCCTGAAGCAGCACTTGAGATTGCTGGAAAGGCTAATGTTCTATAAATTTAAATAAATTTAGTTTAATAGCAAATTTACAATTGAGTTGCTGTCTACTGGAATGAGATCTTCATTTGTTTGACCGGTGCCTAAAAATAGAATTGGTATTCCTGTTGATAGTGTTAAATTAAGGATGTTGCCAACTTTTTCATTAACTGCCTCAACTTTTGTTAAAATAATCGAATCAATCTTCCTATTGTGAATTCCTTTACCGATGTGTTTATTAAACTCTTGTATTTGTTCTAAACAATCACCTCCTGTTAATGCCTCTCCAACGAATATTATATGGTCCGGGTCGTTATTTTTTATAAGTTTAGTTAGAGAATTCATCAAAGTTACCTTATTATGCATTCTTCCTGCTGTGTCAATTAAAATAACATCATTGTTTTCCTTACCTGCTTTAATAATTGCTGTTTTAGCCACATTAGCATCATCCTTGGAATAACCACCCTCGTAAAACCCCACATCATATCCATCATTTCTAAACCTTCCTACATGAATTTTTAGTTGTTCAATAGCACCTGATCTAAACGTATCACATGCTGCTATATAAACTTTAAATTTCTCTTTTAATAAATAATTGCTTATTTTAGCCAATGTAGTACTTTTGCCTACCCCATTAGGTCCTACAAAGCAAATTGAAAAAACACCCTTCTTTAAATTTATACTTTCCAAAAAATCTTTCTGATTTCTTATTAATAACAATCTTTTAATTGAGTCTTTGAGTGCATCCCTAAATCTATCTTGGCTCACCCTGGTTTCATTATTATATTTAAAATGAGCTATAACATCGTTTACAACCAAATTTGCATATTCTGGTGTTACATTTCTCTCTATTAAATGATTTAGTATAATTCTTTCTAATTCATCTAAAGAAATTCTTCCAGTAAAAAGCAAGAATGTTTTATTTTGTAACTTTATAACTGAACTTGCTATAATGTTTTTTATTGTAGTGAATGAAGAAGTATCTTCACTAACTGAAAAATCAAGTTCACTTTTTTCTTTTACTTCAATGCTTTGTTTTTCCTCAATAAACTCATTTTTTTCACAATCAAATTTGTTTAAAAGCTCATTAAGAATAGGTTTATTACAAACCGATAAGTACACAATTGGTCCTCTAACTTCATACTCGACAAACTTATCCCTTACCTTAAGACTTGACTTAAGCTGTGTATCTGGATCCATATTAGCTATAAAGTTATTAATAAAGATCGGTTTGTTACCTTTAGAATACTTGACTATACCACTTGTTTCAAATACAATAAAATAAAAATTGTTTTTCATTTTGGGGTTAAATTTATGTTTATTTATCAAAACTAAGCATGTCACTAATTGATTCTTTAAGCTTCTGTTTGTGATCTATTTTATTAATAAGATTTGGTTCTATTACAAATTCCAGTCGTTCTTTATCGTCAAAATCAAACACAATCAAATCACACTTATTATAGTTCGCATAGAACATTCCATTTAAGGGAATTCCACCATCAACGGCTGCTGCTGAAACCGTGTTTACAATTAAATCAAATGAAATACTGTTCGTTACAACTGTTAAGCTAATAGTTTTGTGTGTAGCAGTCCTGATTACAAACTCATCAAGAATATCAATTAATAAAGCACTTGCTAATGACTCATATGCTTCTTGTTCATCCTTGCTATATCTTCTGCCTACTATTTTAACTTTAACATCAAATGGGTTTTCTTCATTGTACTTAGTGTTTTCAAATGGTCCATAGAAAGCGGCCACCACATAAATCTGTTCATCTTCTGTTAATAACTTGGCTGTTCCATCAAAATTTTTAACAATTCCATGTTCAATTTTGTAATTCATAAAATCTTTTAAGTTTATTTAAATTTTATTCAAAAAATGGGCTGTGATTAGAATTTGGATTTTTTCCAAAATACCTGGCTGAGTTAAATGAATTTTGAGTTGGTAATTTCAACAACTTATTATATCTTTCTAAATAAATTCCAGTTATTTCAGAATAGTCAGTTAAGTCTAAATCTTGCATTGCCTCAATTAAATCATCAGCTATGACAGTTTTCTTGTGATTTGTTTTCATTATTTCTTTTGATCTGCAGGAAATTATATTTATGAACTCAGATGCATATCCTTGAACAACTTCTTTAGCACCTTTGGAGATTTTAGCTGATCCATCAGGAACACCATCTTTCATTATCTTGCTTATGTTTGCCAATGGCAGATACCTATCTTTAAAATGTAGTTTGAAAGACAGTGGATTTTCTTCTCCAAAAAATAACTTCTCCTGTAATTTACTTTTCTCATTCTCATTATATGCATATTCTTTATTAAAATTTAGAATTTCTTTTTTAGGAAAATTCTTATCATTTGAACCACTCTTTGAAAATATAATCTGTGTAGTATCCTCATTATTCAGTTGCACGTTACTTTGATTAGGAATAATAAAATCGTTAAATAAACATTTTTCAACATTCTTTTCTGGTAGCATATTGTTTTAGATATTTTTTAAGATTTAAATTTTGTTACATGTTTCAAGGCTTCCATTCATTTATCTGTCATTCAACTTTAATCTATTCATTATTATTTAATATTATTAAAAATAAATTTTATTGTTTTGTTTTACATTCAACAATACCATCCACTCTTAATAATTGAATTACAATATCAAAGGCACTCTTATAACACTGTTCTTTAACCTGAATTGGGTCCATTATTATTGACCTTACATCACATATATCACCCGTTAAACCATTAATTCCCATATAACTATTTCGATTTAAGTGTTCATTTTCAAGTTTCTGTAATAGTTCAAGAACATTATCAGCCCCTGAGTTCTTTGCTAATATTGATGGAATTGATTGAAGTGCTCTACAAATAAGATTGCATACCTTTTTATGAACAACGTCTTTATCTGCAAACGCTTCTCTGAGACCTGCAATTACTGCATACTCACTGGCACCACCACCTGGTACTAACTTTGGATTAATCATTACATTTTTAGCTACTTTTAAGGCATCAAATAAATTTCTTTCTAATTCTGCGTTAATATCTTTCGAAGGCCCAGATATTACCACAGTTACTGCTTTAGGATCTTTTACTTTGTGAAATATACAATACCAATCATTATTTATAAATTCATAACTAAATTGACCAACTGACCCTAAATGTCTTGTTTGTAAATCCTCGGGTCTGCTTACTGTTGTTCCTCCAGATAGCCTTGCTAGTCTTGCTGCGTCTATTTTTTTAAATCTACGAAGTGCTGTAATATTTTTACTTGCAAATAACCCTAACGCTATATCAGATATTCCTTTTTCAGTAACTACAATATCAGGATTTAAACTTACAATTTGATCAACTGCTCTTCTTATTTGATTTTCTTCCCCTTCTAAAAGCTTTGTAAAGTCATCTTTTTTCAATAAACTCAATTTAGTAGCACTTTCACCTTTCTTATATTCAAGTGGAAAATCAATCAATAAAACTTTTGGATTCTCGATGCTTGTTCTCATTGCTGGATGAAAGATATCCTTCATGAACATCAAACCATCTAAACACTTTGTATCTCTCAAATCACCAATTATCTTCTCTATCTTAATATTGTTTTTAATATCAATTTCCATCCCATTATTAATTGATTCAATTGCTGTTATTGCTATCTGTGCCATTGGAACCTTCAGAATTGAGCATATTTTTGTACTAACTGCACCATGTACTATCTTAAACAAGTCTTCCTTATTAAATGGAACAGATATGTTTGTAATTCTTTGAAGTGCAACATCCTTTGCGTAACTTATTATTCTATTAATTCTTATTGGGTGATGATTTTTAACCATTGAAGATAATTTATCAAGCATTTCAGATGCAAGTATCATCACTGTTGTTGTACCGTCTCCAC